TCTCACAAGAATACATTTTGTAAATTGGCTTAGTCTATATTTTGGAGACTGAGAGAGGAAGGTTGGGCGGTTATAATACGAAATATACATTGTTCCTATCATAGTAACACCGGAAAGCTTCAATTATACTGTCACCGCAACTCCGTTTTCATTCCATTTAGTTTCTTTTTTTGAACTGAATTTTAAATTCCATTTAGTTACTGAAGAAGAAACTTATTAACAAATTTTAGTTGGGCAATAGTGGTGTTATGTCTCCAAATCATTCTGGGGATACCAACTAGAGCATAAAAGCATGGAATTTACGTGCATTACAATTACACCAACACAGGTAATATATATCTCCTCTATGAACAATGCATGGAACTGTTATGCTTAAACTATAACTTAAAACTAATACAACAACCTTTTGACAACATCCCCGCGCATTACGGCCCTAGTAACTACAAATTACAAAGTTATCAAACTTAGTTTAGACCAATAAAACAAAAACATACAAAATGTACATGTGTCGTTTAATAACTTTTGATTTTCCTCTTTCTATTTTTTGTTTGTTTCCCATATTTTGATCTTGTTATTTGTATCATCAAGCACAGTATTTTCTGCATTATCATACGATTAGACGACGTATTACTCTGTTTCAATTTCTAACTTTTAAAAAATAAATCAAAACAAATACGAGACATGCCAATGCATATTTAAATAAAACTTAAAAATATAATTCTAGATAGAAATTATAGTTTTAATAAGTAAAGTTTCGTAAACAAAATAGTTATGAGTTTTAAAAGCTTAAATCAAATTTTTTTTTTTTTAACACTTGAACATGTAGAAATAATCGTTGTGATACAAAGCAGAAGACAAGAAATTAAATAGGATGTCAATAGACACCGCACAGACATGGTAAAAGGAAAGAAAAAACAATTCTCACCAACTCCCATTATTGTCGAGCTTCCAAGGTGAGTAAATGTTGAAGCCAAGCCGGTGCATCTCGGGCGATGTATGATTGGGGTCGACTATCTCGGGTGACACTAACAGCAATTGCGGATGCAGCTTCATTTCTTTCCGGATGTGCGTGATCGAGACTCCAAAACTCTATCCTTGCAAGAAGAAAGGATATATCGTGTCGGAGATGTCTGGAGTTTGGGTGGTCTTCCGGCTTTGTGAGGAAATCACGAAGGCATTCCGACGATGTCTCAAAGATAACATTGGAGAAATGTAAGTTATGTAGACATTCCACCGCCCAAAACAGCGCCCATAAGTCTGCTTCTGTCTTTGTGCGCATACAAGAGTAGGCACGACGACTATGGATGATTGTATGTCCAGCTGCATCCCGAACAATCCATGAAGCACCACTTAATTGATTTGAGTTAACCCATGAGGATCCCACACTACATTTGAGAGAACCAGTGGGAGGATGTATCCATAGTATCTCTTCTGATTCAACGTCCCCAGCTCCATCTACCTTGCTTGTGAAGGTATTACACCAAGTAGATTCTTCCTGATAAGCCTTTTGGCGATAAAAGAGGGTTCGAGAAACTTGTTTTCAAAAGCGCAAATCAAAATTTAGTTTTTGTTTTAATGAAAGGACTAGATCTCAACCCGTGCAACCGCGCAGATATTTATTTTCATTTATTTTTATATAAGTATTTTTTTCACTTCTAAATTAGTATATATTATATGAGGTGTGTATATCGATTTTTTAAAAGATAACAATTTTACCATATATTAGTTTTCATCAAATAGAATATTTCAAAATTTCACATGTATTTGTATCTTCTTCTATATATGATAAATAGATTATTATTTCATTATTGAACTCTAAAATATATGTAAAGATTGGTAAAATATTGTTCTATTGTCATCTCTAAAAATATTGTAACATTTCTCAAATTTATAAAGTTTAACAAAATTGTTAGCTTCATATTCTGGAGTAATTAATTAAACAATTAATTTCTGTTATTTTTTAAAGTAAACTATATAATTTAAAAATTGTTTTCATTGGTTTAAGATAGTATAGATTAATTATTGTTAGAAAATGATGATTTTGTCATTTTTAAAAACAAACTATTTTATTTTATAAGTTAACATCGGAAAATATATAAATAATTAACTTATATTATTACAACATAAAATTATATAAATTTAATTTAAATATTTATTTTATTTTACTATCTATAAATCCAATGAATCATCTAACTATCATTAGTCCAATAAATTTTTTTTTGGTAAGCCCAATAAATGTTATTAATGAAACCAATAAATATTATTAATAATTGAATAATGTAATGTTATAGATTCTAGGAGATAGTCCATTTTTAATATCACACATTAAAAGAGTCATGGCTTATTTTTTCTAGATTTTGACCCGGAAAATTTTTATGATTAAAAATTTATATAATTACGTTTTGTCTTAATTTAATGAATGTCTTGGTATAAAATTAGTTTACCAAAATTTGTGGTGATAGTTGTTTTTCATTAGTTTTTTGTTTCAGTTTTTATTTTTAGATTTTGTTTTAAATTTTGGTTTTTAGTTTTTAAGTTTCTATTTTTGATTTTCAGCTTTTGGTTTGGTTTTTTAATTTTTAGACCCGCTGAGTTAGTTTGAACTGATATTACCAACAAACAAATCTCAATTAATAAAACATGTAATTTAAAACTAAAAAGATGACAAAATAATTTTCTAAAAATTTTGAAATAGTTTATTTGGTAAATAAAAAAAGAAAAAATATAACCTGCGTTTTCAGCTTTTGGTTTTGGATTTTAGTTTTTATATTTGGTTTTTGGTTTTGCTTTACATTTTTTTTTTAAATCTGTAATTTATTTAAGAAAAATAAAACAATAAATTATTTAAAAGTTACCATTAAAATTTATTAAGATATAGTGATTGTTAATTAAAATAAAAAATATTAACATGTTTTAAAGTACATGATTTAAATAAGTGATTAATAATAGATAATTTTGTTTTGTTGAAAATATTAAATATTTTTGGGCTAAAAAATATTAAAATGTTTTAAAGTACATGATTTAAATAAGTGATTAATAATAGATAAGTTTTTTTTGTTGAAAATATTAAATATTTTTGCGTCTGAAAATAGTAATTGATTTTTGATTCATTAAGGTGGAAAGTTTATCCAATGTGTTTTGGAGTTTTTCTTTAATATTAAGCCAAAAAACCCAACAATTAAATGTCCTAAAAACAAAAGTAAGCCCAAAACTCTATTCCATAAATAACCGCCGGTTTAATTTAAGTAATGCGGTTCAGTCAACTATATAACTTGTATTATTTGTAACACTCTAGAAAGAGTCCAAATTTAAATGACAACTTTTATCAGTAGATAAAAATAATGACTCTATTTTAATAGAATAGATAGAATAGATATATTAAAAGAGAAACATTGTAATAAATGCGTTTACAATGTAATTGACACATGTCGACCTTATAATCATTTGGTAATTAATGCGTTCACACACTAATTTTTAAATTTATTATTTAATGTGTTTATATACTATTTTTAATTAATTCATACATTTTTAGTATTTGTATTAATAAATTAAAATTTTCTACGTGAAACTAATGAATAATATCTTTATTATAAAAAATTACAAAATCATTAAGATTTGCATCAACTAAAATGTTGCGATGAAAATATTTGTAGAAATTGAAAGTTTCGTACCTTGCCGAAGTTGGTCATGGTTGAGGCTTCGGTACACAATAACAACAATACGGTGATTGATTATGAATTAAAGAAACTGAGGTGAAAAACATCACACGTAAAGTCGGATCTTTAGTTTAGTCGAATATTAACATTTTTATAAAGTTTTCATATCAGACCAAGAAATAGAAACAAAATCAAATTGGTAGAAGAATATCAGAAATCAAAAAAGCTTGAAAAATAAAAAAACAATCACAAAATCGATCAAAAAACAGAATTCCGATACCAAGTGAAGATGTCATTTTTCAATATTTATTATATTTATTGTTTACGGGTATAATTTTATTTTCTTCATATAAAAAATGTTATTAATTTCTAGGTTTGTTTTATTTTCACTTAATTTTATTTAAGAAATTTACTATCATGTGTTATTTTGAACAAAAATGTTTTAAATCTTAATTAACGAATATTCATATATTTATCATCACATTTATATACTTTTACATATACATACATGTACACATTGACATGGACGACTATATAACTAAATATTCACCACAAGTGAGAATTTTAATTCTTATTGAAGTTGAATTTTGTTTTTAATGTTTTCTTTCACTATCACTCAAATTTTAGTGAAATGTTTTGTGTTAATAATTTTATTTTCTTGTTTCTTCCAATTTTATTTGATTTTACATGTCTTTAGAAATTATAATAGGAAACTATTAGTTCGACATTAAAAATGTCTAAAATTTATATAAAACGAAACCAAACAAATAACAATAGTTTTTGGTTATCATCGAAAAAATTAAAAACATCAAACATTTAAACCAAACCTACCAAAATAAGTATAGATTTAGAATGATAGTTATATTTTAGGACATTAAATAAACAACGTAAAACTGAACCAATATCCATGCTAAAAAAACATAATATAATTTTTATCTTAAAAGTAACAATAATAATAATCTCATTCCGCGCAAGGCGCGGGTTATTACCTAGTATATAAGATTTGATCAACAAATATTTTAGGAAGTATATTTTTCTAAAAGGGAAGTGTATTTTAAAATCTTAAAATATAACCAAAAAAAATGATAAATTTAATATTATTCAAATTTATACCAATTTCGTTGATTGTTTGTCAAATCATTGAACCTTATCCAAAAAAGCTTATCCAACATTGATGAGGAACAGACTGACTAAACTTATCCAAAAAAAGCTTATCCAACATTGTCAGATCATACCTTTTATTTATATTGTTTAAAAAGAAAATACAAATATTTATTTTTAACTGTATTATAAAATACTATAAATATGTACGAACAAAGTTGCATTTTCATCTCAAAATAAAAAAAAAATACTATTTGATAACTAGAATGATGAGCACCGCGGCGACACTCTTTATTCAAATCATTACATTTTTTCTCTTTAGCGCCACTGTCTCATCATCATCCACTCCCAGTGGTGGCGGCTTCAGCATCGACTTATACCAACGTCGCTCTTCTTCTCGAATCTCTAATACTCAGATCAGATCATCTCCTTACGCCGATACCGTCTTTGAAAAATCCGTCTACCTTATGAAATTACAAATCGGTACGCCTCCCATCGAAATCGAAGCTATCTTAGACACAGGAAGCCAAATCACGTGGACAAACTGTTTTCCTTGTAATGACTGCATTAAACCATTATTCGACCCTTCAAAATCCTCGACCTACAAAAATAAAATATGCGATGGTGGCAGTCCTTGTCCGTTTGAGATAAACTACGAAGACAGAACATATTCAAGAGGAACATATGCAACCGAGACTATCAGGATCAAATCAACTTCAGGGAAACCCTATGTAATGCCTGGAACAACCATTGGATGTTCCCACAACTCGTCAGCAGATTTTAAAAAACCATATAAACCTTCGGGGGTTGTTGGTCTAAACTGGGGATCTTTATCACTTGTCTCTCAAATGGGTGAAGACATGCTAGGTCTTATGTCTTACTGTTTTTCTCCTAAAGGAACTAGTAAGCTCAACTTTGGAAGTAATGCTATTGTGTCAGGAGATGGCACTGTAGTAGCCAATATGTATAGGAAGAAGGAGGCACCCGATTATTATTTCCTAAACCTAGACGCTGTCAGCGTTGGGAAGACTCGCATTCAAACACTGGGGACACCGTTTCACGCCTCAAAGGGGAACATTATTATTGACTCTGGAACAACTGTCACTTACTTGCCCGAGAGCTACTGCAAAAAAGTGAGGATTGCAGTGGAAAAGGTTGTGAAAGCCGAACGAGTAGCTTCCTCAGAAAAAGATCTTTGCTACAAAACGAATAACATGGATTTATTTCCAGTAATAACAATGCATTTCCAAGGTGGTGCGGATCTTGTTATGGATAAATACAATACGTTTATGACCAGTGGAGGAGAAATCACTTGTCTGATAATTATTTCTGGTACATCTACACCAATTTTTGGTAACAGAGCGCAAAACAATTTTTTGGTTGGGTATGATCCTTCTTCACAATTGGTTTCTTTTAAACCCACTAATTGTTCAGCTTTGTGGAGTTAGACAAACCAAGAGAGTCAATTTCATTAATAAGACCATAGATAATGGATTTGTTTATGTAAATGAGTTGTTGTGTCACTATCATAATAATATTTACTTAATTTTCACATGTTTTTTCTTTAGGATCATTTGGGCTAGTTTCAAATATTTTGTTTATATGAACAAAAATAAGCACATGATTATTAGATTTTAATTTTTTCAATGTAATTTAAACTTTCATAAAATATCAGAATATTTATAATGAAAGACGTAAACTTTTCTAAAAGAGTAATATAATATCTATAATATTAATTGAAAAGTGAATTTCCTACGTGTCGCACTCATATTAATTTAAACGATGGTCAATTACATTGATGATCTTAATGCATTAAATTTTTATAAAATGTCTATAAGCAACTTTCTAATTTAGGTTTTATTAATAATTATTTACTAAAAGTAACAAAAAGGGAAAATATCTCTATATTTTCTAAAGCTATTTGGAAGGTTTTTTTATGAAACATTCTATTTTTTTTTAAATGTATGTACATAGCCGGTTATACAGACAAATATTTTGTTTATTTTATATTTATTTATTTTTAATAATAAATACTAGGTAATAATCCGCGCCTTGCGCGGAATGAGATTATTATTTTTGTTACTTAAGAGATAAAAATGATATTATGTTTGTTTAGCATGGATATTGGTTCAATTTTACGTTGTTTTTTTAATGTACTAAAATTTAATTATCATTCTAAAACTATATTTATTTTGGTTTGTTTGGTTTAAATGTTTGATGTTTTTAATTTTTTCAATGATAACCAAAAACTATTGTTATTTGTTTGGTTTTGTTTTATATAATTTTTAGACATTTTTATGTCGAACTAATAGTGTTCTATTATAATTTCTAAAGACATGTAAAATCAAATAAAATCTAAATATTATTTGAAAAGAAAAAAATAAAATTATTAACACAAAACATTTCACTACATTTGAGCGATACTGAAAGAAAACATTAAAAAAAATCAACTTCAATAAAAATTAAAATTATCACTTGTGGTGAATATTTAGTTATATAGTCGCTCATGTCAATGTGTACATGTATGTATATGTAAAAGTATATAAATGTGATGATAAATATATGAATATACCGTTAATTAAGATTTAAAACATTTTTGTTCAAAATAACACATGATAGTAAATTCTTAAATAAAATTAAGTAAAAATAAAAAAAAACTAGAAATTATAACATTTTTTCATATGAAGAAAATCAAATTGTACCCTTAAACAATAAAAATAATATATATTACAAAGTGACATCTTCACTTGGTACTTGAATTATGTTTTTAATCGTTTTTGTGATTTTTATTTCTTTTTAAAGATTTTTTTAATTTCTGATTTTCTTCTACCTATTTGATTTTGTTTCTAATTCTTGGTCTGATATGAAAACTTTATCAAAAAATGTTAATATTTGACTAAACTAAAGATACGACTTTACGTGTAGTGTTTTTCACCTCAGTTTTTTTAATTCATAATCAATCATTGTATTTGTTGTTATTGTGTACCGAAGCCCCAACGATGACCAACTTCGACAAGGTACGAAACTTTCAATTTCTACAAACATTTTCATCGCAACATTTTAGTTGATGCGAATCATAATGATTTTGTAATTTTTTCACAATGAATATATTATTCATTAGTTTCACGTAGAAAGTTTTGATTTATTAATACAAATGTTAAAATGTAGGAAAATAAATTAATTAAAACTAGTATATAAACACATTAAATAATGAATTAAAAAATTAGTGTGTAAACGCATTAATTGCCAAATGATTGTGAGGTTGACACGTGTCAGTTTCGGTGTAAACGCATTTATTACAATGTTTCTCTTTTAATATTATTTACAAAATAATTACGGATTAAAATATTTACTATTTTATTTTGAAAATAAAAGTTACTAATTTTTTAATTTTAAATTGAGAGAATCAATATTTTAATTTCTTTAAATTATATAGATTTTATCAAATATTTAAAACGTAATACAAATAACCAAACTAAATGAAAATACAAAACAGCTTACATGTTAGCATAATTTGAACCAATAAAAAGTGTTAGTTCAATTTCATTGAATTTTTGAATTAAATATGTTTTAAAGTGAATAATCAAATTGGTAGGTATTTTTATACCTTAAATGAAAAAATTATATGTCAAATTAAGTACTTAACAATATAATTACAAATTATGTTTAGTTTCATATATATATAAATTATAAACCATCTTAATATTTATAATCAATTATTATGTTTTTATTTATAAATATTTGAATATGTGTAAAAAGTTATAGAATATCACTGATTATATCGGTTAGTGAAACTCTAAGTAAACTAACACTTAATTTTTATTTTTCTATTTCTTCTCAAAACAACATATATATTATATTATAAATATTGTTATAAACTATCTTTACAAACTAATATAATGAATTAAACTAAATATAGTTTTTTTTTAAATTATGATTTTACTATATTAATTCAAAATCAGAACAAATTATGATTTAGTTGAAAATATATATAATTTAATATACCAAAAAATTGAACCTAAATTATTATGATACCACATATTTAATTGAGATAAAAAAAAAATTATTGAAACATAATATTATATTTACTCTATATATAGATAGATTATAAAATGATTTAAAATTTAAAACGGCACATTCGCTAATTATAATTATTTATTTTGTAAATATTGATTCCCGTGCATAACACGGGAGAGTCATCTAGTGTATAAAATCATCAATATGTTTATAAAACTAAAATAAATGTCTTACATAATAAACTAAAAACAGTAATATTGAATAGAAATAAAACAAAATTCTTTCAACTCTAAGCAATATATATCAATATCAGATATTATTTTATAAATATTAATATGTTCTTGGATCACAAAACGTAAATAATTCCAACCAAATATGTGTAAAAATCAATGTGATATCTTGGTAGGAAATGACTTCTAAATTTGTTAAGACATAAACACCAATTTTATATTTATTTAAAAAATGAGTACCAATACTAAATAATTAAATAAATTTAAATATAAACTTTATATTTTTTGGCCGGCATTTGTCCAAATGGACTTAAACCCAAAATAGTTAAATCTTAAATGGGTTAAGCTCGAATGGTCTGCTTTTTTTTGTTTATATAATTAAAACCAAACCCGCTAATTTATATGATTGGATAGGCTCGGACTGGGTGATTTAGCCCAAATTGACATGTATTTATGAGACTCGTCTGTCTTGATGTTTGAATATCCAATAAACATTATTTTAAAAAGTGATTACATTTTGAAAATCGATAAAATGAAATTTATATTTACATTTTTACATATAATTATTTTGAAATGCAAGAGACCAACAAGTTTATAAATTAATTTAGGGTTTATAAATAATTTATAAATTATTTTGATAAAATAATGTATAAATAATTATGTATTAGATTTAAATACTTATACATCGATCTTAAACATTGCATGAGATATAATAAATGTTTTAAAACATTTAATGATTTTAGTGATAATACTCTTCAACTATTTTTGAAAATCGGAACGAAATTTCTCAATTAAGTTTTCAATATTTAAAATATTTAACTTATAAACTGTTAATATCTATCATCTTCTGTCATGGTATTTTAGATGGAGTGTGACTGATATTAACGAAATTAAAGTTAAGAGTTTCTTCTAATTTTAAATTGAGTGATTGTTTTAAAATTCATGGGGTTTATTGCCAAAACATCTATATACATTAATGTGTTATGTTGTGGTAGACATAGCAGGTTAAGTTAAGCTTTGGAAAAAAAAGTTTGCATGTGAAACATGAAATCTATACTTTACCTGTCTGGTAGACATATATTCGAAGTTTATGAAAACGCAACTAAGTTTAAAACATTATTTTGCACCCAAGTAACGTTTAACACAATTACAAGTAATTACATTTTTCCAAGGTTAAAAAAGTGTATCAGATAGTTTTTAAAGTCTAAACAAGCAGAGTTCTCAAATAATGTGCACAAAAACCAGAAAGAAAAAAGAGCCAACAAAGTGATAAAGCTCTCACGGAGCATACGATTGAGAAGTCACACTCATAGTCAGAACTACCTTGATTCTTATGATTTAAACTTGGAATCTACTAGGTAGTCTACAAATGCATGAACTCTGGAGTCATCCTCAAAAGCTTCATTCCAACACCTCGGATTTCAACTCTTCGGAGAGTGTTTCTTTCGGGACTGAAGTAGAAAACACAAAACTGTTTCGATGTATACTTCTCTGAAAGAATAATCTCACCTGTAGTAGTCATCCCAACAACAACAATCTTCTCATAGATATCGTTCTCCGGAAAAGTGTAAACATATTCCGACCATTCTTCTGTCTCAACATCCTCTAGAATCCACATATGCAACACAATGGCATTAGAGTCATTATATGTCAAGTCTATTCCACATAATTTACCCTTATAGTTGATCAGTTGAGTAACTTGTGGATTACGAAAGCAATCTGCTTCAACAAACTCGAATGTCTCAGACCTAACATCAAAGCAACATATCAAGTAACTATCACCTCCATTTTTACCTATGTAATACAAAACCCCATTGATGCATGTCCAATGATCACACGAGGGCTCAGGTCTTATCGGACATTCGATCTTTCTCCACTTTTTTTTTCCTGTGGTTACCGTCAGGATTCTATCATCATCAGGACCACCTAAATAAGCCATGAACAATACTTTGAACTGCTTGTCAAGCGGATCAAACCCTAGAAAGCTATTGCACTTTCTGTACCTATCCAGTCTAGGTAAAGTCATATTCCGTCCTGTATTTAAATTGTAAATCTGACGCTGCCAACATTCATTCTTTGATATTTGCAAATGAGAGAAATATATCAAACCAGAGGTAAACCCACCAAAATTTGGATACAAGTCTTGAGAGAACCTCATGTGGAAATCAGCAGTTACCACAAGAGGCGACTTCTCGTATGGACTATGAGATGAGAAGAAGAGAAACTCATGGTTGGATCGTTCAAGTGCAAATAAGAGACGTGGACCGCTAAGTATAGACCGCCATAACTTTGAAACGCAACGAAACCTTGCTACTGACTTTCGAGACAATCTTGAGAGTATCTCTGGAATGAGATCGGTGGGGATGTAAGCATTATGTTCTCCTCTAACCATGATCGTTTGACTGAGAGAGAGAGAGAGAAGTACGTATGAATATAAGTTTATATATAAGTTTTAAAAAGTTAGGGTTTCTGCCTTGGAAGACATTGAGATGTTGATTTCGCAAACCCTAATCTAGGAGGCCCATTTTAAAAGAAGGGCCAGGCCAGGTTTCACCCATAGTCACCGACACAACACTAATAAAAACAAAAAGAAAACATGTGGCCGTGCTACTTACAATTATTTGTCAAAAACCCTAAAAGCGTTCCAAACCCTATCTTTCTTCAGGCCTAAATACTGTGAGGTAAGAAGGTTTTAATTTCCTTGCTGTCTCATTTCCGTTTTTGTTTATAATGTTTATTTAGTCTTTAGGAAAGAGATGGTTGATAACAAGGTGGCGGAGGCTAAATTTGAGGAGGCTCCAACGTGGGTTTGTTGGGACATTGAGCACTGTCCAGTTCCCAAAGGTTGTCAAGCTCAGGAGATTTTTCAGAAGATAAGCTTGGCACTGAGTAACTTAAACTACAGTGGTCCAATCTCCATCTCTGCATATGGCAACATGGATCACATCGCTCCTTCCGTCAAGGAAGCTCTCTCTTCCACTGGAATTGTTCTTAATCACGTCGTTCTCAACTCCAGTTAATCTTCTTGATAATCCTCATTTCTGACATTTATATTATAGACAATGATTTTCAGATTCTTACGTTTACTAAGCAATTAATTATTATCTCACGTCTTTTTATGTTATGAAACAGGAGTTTCAGCTCATATATTTCGAACCAATTATTGTTGTGGGAGGTACCACTTCCAGCTAATTTAATGCTCATCACCCGTTACGACGAAGATGGTGGCTCTATGATTCTTCAATATAAGCAAAAGGTTGGATACAACACTTTTCTAGCACATCCCGAACATGCCTCAGACTTTTTTGTTGCTTCTGCAAACACCACATTTCTATGGAAATGCTTGGTGCAATAACCGGATATAAACCAGCCAAACAGGCCTTAACTCTCTTCTTTTTCCTCACATGTATTGTAACAGCGGCGCTAATGCAAATAAAAACCATTAGATTTTGAACTTTTGATTTTAGATTCAGCCGCCATATATATAATGTCTTTTTTGTCTCTTCTCCATACTCGCTGTATTGTGCTCACTACAGCTTGAGAGAGACCAAAAAACTTAATATCTGTGTTGATTTTATTTTTCATGAACTTTTAATTTGTTCCTCTCTCTAGTAGCTTTTCAAAATATTAGCTGTGTGACTGTGTCTTTAATTTCTTCGTTTCTTCTGTAATTCACTGGTGCAAGTCCTATCATGTCTCTCATAAACCGCTTTCACATGCATGACCTCAAAATTTTGTTCTTCGGTTTGCATCCATAAGATTAATCGAATCATCCATAATGTAGCTTTCAATTAACGTGTGGTTGAGAAAAAACAAAATGATGTTATACTAAAGAACCACAATAGACACATGTGGTGAATGTGTGCCAAAAATACATACACTCTTCTTCTAGAGAATAAAGTATGCAAATGACGTGACAAGATATAATGAAACATAACTCCATTATTGCTTGCTAGCTTGGTTTGAGACAAAATACATTCTTCACAGATGCAAGTAGCTCGAAGTTATCACGAGGAAGAGGTACATTCAGAAGTGGTAATACACAATCGAGGCTTCTAGTTCAAGTGGTACAGGGTGGTAAAGGGTTTACAGTTGTGAGTACCGCCACTTGGGTTCGAATTTCGACCAGTCTGGATCAATTCTGTGAGGCCAGAATACCTCACTACAGGAAAATTGAGTATTAATTACGCCATGAAAACGCTATCTAACGCTACCATAGCGGTATTAGGTACGCTGTATCATCAGCCGCGATAATAGGTCCACCAGTTAAGATAGCGTTTTTTTGCTTCTGCTACGTTATGTTTTAATTAGATAGCAGTTTCAGTTTTCTTATATAAATATTCTAATATAGCATTTGATTTCCAATATCGATACTGTGTTAAACTAATAATTTATAAAATTATATATTTTTAATTAATTATGTTAAAATAAAAATATAATTTAGAAATTAATTTAGAAATATAATTTGATTTACATGATTTACAATTACAATTACATATTGGTTTCCAATTACAAATTGGTTTAGTAACTAACCTAAGTAAACCAATTTACTATAGTTAAACCTAACTAAACCTAATAATGCCACCACACCACATTTTTCTTCAATCTCTGCCGCACCCAAGCTTTATTCTTCTTCTTTGCTTCCGTTGCACCATTCTTTTTCGACAGAGCTTCTCCACCTTCCTCTGAAATACATCCTGACTCTCTCTCTCGTTCCTTCCCCTCTATTAGATAAAACAACAAGACAACCGTTAACCAACAAGACAACCGTTAACCACGAAAAGAACATTCAAAGTTCAAAATTACAAACCAAGTTTATTGAGGAAGCGGCGTCCATTGATATGCTTCCAAATATGTTCATCGGTCTTGTTTACAGCATCACCATTAACATTACATAGCAGCTTTGAACTATAAAAAAAACAAGCAAAATACCAAATTCATCAAATCTCTGAAACAGAAACAAATAATCTCAAAATCTGGTAAAATAAACTCTCTTGTGCATAAGATTCGCATAAATCAAGACCTTACTTTGCGATATGCGTCCACTCAAAAGAGACTACAAGTACTTTGAATGAGACGACGAGGTCTTAATCGTACAAGAAACGACTTGCTGTTGTACAGTTACGCCACCGCAACTCGGCTCCTCCGTCTATCTCTAACAACGAAGAAGAGAGGAAGGAAGTGAAGTGGAAGATGGTGACAGCGGCGATTCTTCTGATTTCTTCGACTAACGGAGACAGAGTGGAAGATGGCGACGCTGGAGATGGAGAGCTCGGTGGTAGGTCAAGATCCGTGACGAGAAGAACTGCGACAAGCTTGAGCGGAGGTGGAGAAGAGGTGACGATGTTATACAAGGATCTGTAATGGTAAGTGGAGAAGGATATTGAGAGGCAGAGACGATGGAGAGGGTTTGGTGGCGGCGATGAGCCTGGAAAAACACTTCCAAAAAATTAAAAAACAAGAGAGAAGGAGAAAAAAGGAGGATGAATCTGGACCCTTCAAAAACTTTAATCAATGGTTGTGATTACATAAAACATGATCCTCACCCTTGTACGTGATAGGCTACTTTGTGTGTGGACCAATAACATTTTGTTTCTATTTTTTTTTAAACAATGTTGTTTTCTATTCTATTCTATATTTTAGTATATCAATATATATGATATATTTTCGTAAATGAAAATTTTAAGAAAAAATCTAACATTTAGTATTCACAATTTATCAATTTCTATTTATAATTATAATTTTAAAAATTAATTTTTTTGCTTGATGTTTGGATAAAGAAAATAGAGTTTAGGTTGTTTGAAAAAATAAAGTTTAGAGTTGATGAAATAGAGATTAAGGTTTAAGTTTAAAACATGAAATTAAAATTTAAATTTTTTAAAAAAGTAGAAATTAGATTTACCATAAAGAATATAAGATTCAAGTGTAGTTTGGAGTTTAGGGTATAGAGTTAAGATTAGAGTATGGTGTTTAGAGCTTGGGTTTTAAGATTTGAGATTAAAATTTTTAAAATATTAAATTTTGATTTTCAATGAAAAATTTAAGATTAGATTTTGAAAATATCTGTATTTACAGTTAGTGTTTAGATTTAAGATTTGTGGTATAATATGTAGGGTTTGAAGTTAAGTTTTGGGGGTTTGGGGAAAATGGAACAGAGTTTGGAGTTATTAAAACTGCTTAAAAGTTAAATATGAAGTTTAAAGTTTAAGGTGTAAAATTTAGTAAGTTTAGGGTTGAGAATATAGTGTTTGGTTTTAGATTTAAGATATTTTGTGATTATATTTAAGATTTAAATTTATATAAATAAAAAATAGAGTTTAAGATTTTTAATTAAAGTTTATGGTACATGATTAATCTGAGATTAGTTTTAAATTTGGAGATTAAAATAAAAGTTTGGATATATGTTTTGAAGGTTAAAGGTTTGGGGTATTGATTTAAGATTTGAGAATATTAATTTCTATGTTTCTATTTAAAAATTGAAGTTAAATTCGAGATTTGATATTAAAATTTTAAAGTCTAAAGTTTTTGTTTTGAGTTTAGGTTTTAGGGTTTAGGGTTTAGGGGTTAGGATTTCGAGTTTTTGGAGGCAAATAAAATAGAGGGAAAGTGAAATAAAGGTGAGAGGGAAAATCAATTATTTTCCCGCTTTAGTTTTACATAGCGTTTCGAAACTGAAAGCTATGTATACTACGTTTCGAAAAGGTGTTTTTCATAGTTAAAATCGGACTAACCTAACATAGCGTTTGCATTTTCACGAATGCTATGGAAAAATAGGAAGTATACCAACCATAACATAATCGGAAAAAACGCTATCCTATTCTGCTATAAATACTCAGATTTCTTGTAGTGTCTCTGTATAATTCAAAAAAAAAATGGTAATACACTCCCGAAAACAGAACAAATTCTTATACGTGAGGTTAGTATTTGTCTTGGTAGTATCATTGTTCTTCCAGTATATAATACTACCACTAGTCTACTAACCAAATTGAAACGAGGAGAAACAGTCAACTGACTTTTAAAGAACACATATATTGACTATGTATTAGAAATTACAATTCTCTCAAGGAAGGAATTTTCTAAATTCTTTAAATTTGAAGAAAAATTACTATATGACTGACACAAATAATTTTTTTTTTTTGCGATTATAAGTTATTTTTATGTTAATCATATAATTTTATATTAAAAAAATTATCTTATGATTCCCGGTCACATTAAATTATATAACATAATAACTTTATGTAAATTTTGCAAACAGCAAAGTGAAATGGTTGAATTTTTAATGTTTATAAATAAACTACATCTATATTATTAAAACTGAAATATTTTTTTAGTATTGTTTGGAATAAAGATACTAGGATAAATGAGAATTGTTTGGAAAAAGATATTACATTAATTATTTCTTTTTATTTGTACACTTAGCCATTTCATTTACATTAAATTAAATACTTTCTTTTTGTATTTCTTTTTATTTGCAGATTTTATCCTTGATTTTTAAAACTAATTTAAATTAATTAATCACAATGATTTTTTTCTTTGTGGTGAAAATAAAAACACAAAATGAAATATATAGTATATATTATATAACATAGTTTTTAAATATAGTATTACTTTATTTAATTTAGTCTCTAGAATTCAATTTTCAAGAATAAAATAATAAAATTAAGGATAAATTATAGAAAACCAATGCAAAAAATTAGTTTTTAGTATGTTGTCTCATTTTAAAATAAATTAACAAAAAAACAACATGGTAATATATATACAATTACATCAAATTATAAATTTTCTAATATAATATTATGTACAAATAAAAAATTATTATTACATATTTATATTATAAAATATTATAGTCTACTCTATAGATAAATTACAAAACATAAAAAGAATATATAATTTTTTTTATAAAATCAACGATTTATGAATTTACGTTGAACACAAATTAAATCAAATATCCACAAGGGATGCATGTCAAGTTCTACTTAGTATTATAACAAAAGTAGAATATATTTAATAAACTATTTTTAAGAAATACTATAAAATTAGAAAATCAATTTTAATAATTCTCCATTTTTGCGAGAAAAAAAACATTTTTTGAAGAATATTGAAAATTTTCTAAATGGTAGGCCCAGAAATTATTAGCCTATCACACATATGATATGACATAGACCAAGAAGTGAAAATAACAGATTGCCTTCCTTTTTCGTCTCACATTTCCACCACAAACTTTTTGGTTTCTTTTTTTGGCAAAGAAACCACAAACTTGTGTTCAAAAAAAAAAAAGAAACCACAAACTTTTTTCAAATTTTATTTTTCTTGGAGCGGAGACGGTAGAGTTTTCACCTTGGGAGAGGTTTCTAAACACAGTAGTAACCAAGACTGTTGGATCGTCATCGACGGCAAAGTGGTTCCACTACTTCACATCTCTTCTTCTTCTAGTACTCTCTCTATATATGTTCGATCAAAACGTCTATTTTCTAATTTGATGATACTGTCTACTATATATATATATAGGTCTATGATGTGACAAAGTTCTTGGACGACCATCCTGGTGGTGACGATGTCATCTTGACTTCTACAGGTATAACTTAGATTCTCTTTCAACTCTTCACACATTTTTCTTTCTTTAGTTTGTTACTTCATGTTTTGGAAGGAGAAAGGTTAGCAAATTTCATTGCACAAGAAAGTATTTTGGTTTTCAGGGAAAGATGCTACGGATGATTTTGAGGATGTGGGACACAGTACCACTGCTAAAGCCATGCTAGATGAGTACTATGTTGGTGATATTGCCTCCTCCACTGTCCCGACCAAAACCACGTTTGTTCCTCCTCCTCCAAACCAGAAACAGTCTAGCCAGACACAGAGCTCGGAACTTGTCATTAAGACACTTCAGTTCCTTGTTCCTCTTCTCATTTTAGGATTGGCTCTTGGTATCCATTCTTACACCAAGACTCCTTGAGGATGAGGGCTTTGAGTGTTTGCCTCTCTACTACTATACCTGGTTACACTGTCTTTTTTTTATCCTCTGCATGTTTTGTAATACTTCAGATATTATATTCACTTTTTTCAACTAAGTGAATCTGTTGATGTTAGAGACCTTTGTAAGTTTATAACAAACAAACAAGCATCCTATGCACCACACTTTTTTTTTTCTGAAAAAAATTATCAGTATTGTTGTTGAATCAATGTCCCAAAACTGAAAGTTTCGTCTAATGAATTACCAAACAAGAATCATCAAAGAGGGCACACCAAGAAAATGAATTTACTTATCCCACGTTGTAATGAGGTTTCATTTCCACCGGAGAGATTGTCTAATGCCAGTGAAGATGAGTCCAACTGATCTACCAATCAATGTAACAAGAAAGAAGGATATGATGCTACTCACTTTATTCACCACCACTCTTATGATTGGCATTCCAATGTCTGATAACTCCAGAAACAGACTAAAGTAGTACCTCCTATTGTACACACATCAAACACTTTCTCATCATGTATTTAAGGTTCTTGTAGGTAAAAGAAGAAGAGAGAGGTTTTTACCATCCTGATAGAGCCTTAAGCTCCTTTGTTCGTTTAACAGGCAATGAGAAATCACTGATTATGGAGTATCTCAAGGCTGATGATGATGAGGTAGCTTTAGCTTTTCCCGGTGTGAGCTTTCTCCACCAACTATATCTTTCTGTGTCATCACCACCATCAGAGTTGTTGATAACCTGAGTTTGAAGAATGTAGAGGTCAAAGCGATCCTCATACATTGACACAACTGCTTCCATGTTCTGATGTAACCATTGGTATAGAGCTACCTACCAAAGTAGAAATAAAAATCTTTAACCCTGAAGAATGAAATGCATGGCAAGTTTCTGTGTGTGTGTATATTTGTTTACCTCGTTGCGTAGTTTTTGAAGTGCTCTACTAGAAAGGTTACAGATATCTAACCCTCCAGTTTTCATTTCATCTGAGAACTTGCTGTCTACAGAAATGAGCTCTAGATAGATGCTAGCGACCCCATCTGCTAACGTTATCATCAAGTCTTCCAAAATGGCAACTCCATGAGTACGAAACAAGCTAAGATCATAGCAAGAAGCTTTCCCTGAAGATCCAAATTTATAGAAATATAAGAACTCTGCAAACAGATCCTCCTTGCCTGATTTTCTTATTTTATCAAAGATAGTTTCCTTTTCATTTAACATTTTGATCAGCAACGGAGTCATCGCCTCCTGCACATTGTCCAATTGGTATTCAAACAATGAAAGCAACAAAACTGAAAACAGTCACTAAATGTAACATGTGTTATCTACTTACTTTGTCAGAATCAGTGTCTTCCACACACAATTCCTTCTTTAGCCAAGCTGTGCATGCTCCTTGATAAGCTTCACTGACAATATCATTAAAACTAACCTTCCACTCATCCGAGTTGATTGTGTTAGATATCTTATTTGTCTGCAGAACAAATACAATAGCTGATCACAAGGTATAAGGAATCACAGCAAAAAATAAGACTAGAGAGCAATACACCCCTGAGCTAAAAACCATTGGAGCCTATTAAAAACATATATGCTTAAAAGTGAAATACTGGAGAAAAGGAGGTAGAAGCTAACCTCTTCTTCAAGTTTCTGAAAGCAAGACCAGAGCAAGTACACCTGTGGCCTTTCAGATATAGCATACAAGCTCAGAGGAGGCTTCCCTTGAGGCGGTTTCGCCTTCAGGACTCTGCTTCCAAGTGTACTCTCACTCTTAATAGCGTCTAAAGAATCCAAAAGCTTTCCTTTCACCACATCCCATACAGACTCCAAACCACCATCAAAACCTGTATCCCTAAAAATGAAAGAAAGGAGGCTGTGTAAATAAAAATACAAAACATTTTGCACTGTAAAATGAAACAGAATAGAGAGACTACTCTTACCTACCAGAAGACTCTGGAGTTCCAACCTCTGGACTCTCCTCTTTCACATTATTCTTTCTAGAAGAGTAACCAGAGTTTTGACTAGGAATCACTCCAGCCATATACGTGAGGAAAACACTAGCCATCAAGAGAACTTGGTCACCGATAGGGACCCAACCAGAACCAGCAACAGCATCAAACTCTCCCAGAGATGCCAAGCAAGCACACTTAAAAGAAGACTCTCCAAGATTCAAGGAAGTAGAAACACAACGTTTGGGAGATTCCCCTGATGGTTTCCATGTGATGTTGCAACTCCCAACAAGCTTCCTACAAAAAAAAAGGTATTGACTATAAAAAAAAAAGGAAATCACATGGTCTCAAGAACCATAGCAACAACAGAGTTAGCTAAAAAGGACAAACCTTTGGGGAATATTAAGAGGAGGGTTCCTTGAAAGGCATCTCCTTTTAGTGAAGTGTAACGGCAGGTGAATGCAAGAAGATGAAGACACAACCATTGGTAAAAACAATAGTACTCAAGACTTAAAACATGTTTGAAGAGATTCTTGTTAAGACCAATCTCTACATCACAAAAGACAAAACAAATGAATTTCAAGAAACCTGATTGCAACAAGTCTTAGTTAAAGCTTAGGAAGACAACAATAGAGACAAATCTTAGTTACATTTCATGTTTCAAATCTAAATTGAGATTCAATAGTCAAAATAGGAGTTTCAAGGGAAAGATGTAACACTTACATTACCAAGAAACCTAAGAGAAATTGAGAAAGGAGCAGAGAGGTGATGAAGAAGAAGCGGATTGGGGTTGTGCGTATCTGAGAAGACCTCTCTCTCTCTGGTTGTGACCCAACGACAGAGACAAAACAAAAGTACCATGGTTTATTATAATATTAATATTTATGAAGAAAGTGAACAACAGGGGTGGTGGCGCAGTTGGCTAGCGCGTGAGTCTCATAGCTATGTGAGTAATCTTGAGGTCGTGAGTTCGAGCCTCACTCACCCCATATTTTTAATTTTATTCTACTTTGGAAAGCTGAGCTTGATTAAAATTTCGTCCCACATCGGATATTGAGTTCTTTTCGTTTGTGTATATATATATTTAGAGAAGGAATAGATAATGTGTTCGTAGAAAGGAGAGATGGTTGGCATCTCCTCTGACAGAGACGGGATTGACCTTCGGGTCCTGAACACATCCGGTTAAGGCTTTCCACCTTCGGGTGGATCTCAACCCAATTTTTTCAGGTTTTTTATTTATTAATTATTGGGCTCTTCCTTTCTCTACTCTAAAAGGAGTTTGTCAGCAAATGATTCTTATGAGGTAAGCTTCCTTCTTATCTCAGCGTTCCATGTTCTTGTACACATGTCTGTTAAGCTATTTATGGTTGTCTTGCCTCTAAGATTAATGAATTTGTCTTAGGAAGAGCATCTTTCAGATAATAAACGATCAGTGTAGTGCTTGTTGTTGGTTCATGTCTCTTTTGCTCTTTGAGATAGTTGATCTTGCGCCATATATGAATGTTACGGAACATGACGTTGGTTTTGGTTTGTGTATTACAATCTTGACAAGTTTTAGTTTATGGTGCACTGTTATAACATGTGTCTTCTGGTAGTTATTTTCTTATTCAAGATGTTGCTCATTCATCCACCTTTGTAACATGAAATAATTACACACCTTGACAAGTTTTAGTTTTTTTTTAAAGAGCCCCGAAATAAGAAACTAGCATTGGAGTGAAAAATTAATGTGTTTTTTAAGCAGAGTTTTTAATTACAATTAATTATTAAAATATTTATTTGGAAACCCTAATGAGTTTGTGGGTTAATGGTGTTCTTATTTGCTAGAAGAGTTTATGTTTGTCCACAAGCAAGAAACTAATAGAGTATAAAAGACATCAACATGACGTCATTATTTTTGTTGTATATACAAATTTACACAAGAAAATAGAACACATGCCATCTTCTAACACATCAAAACTATGAAGACAGGAACTATATGATATTACATAACAAACATTTAAATTCAAAATTATTAGCAAACTAATTGGTTTCTAAAAGAAGAGATCTGTTCGAAGATTGGGAGTCTCTTAGATTTATAATTACTCGTCGTCATCTCTTCAACCCCAAGAACAAAGTCATCGTCTAAGATATTTCCCAAGACATCCTCCATCTCAGCATCTCGCAGACGTGGCAACGAAGCCTCTAGCTCACTCAGAAGCTCTTCCGCTCGTTGCCTTGTCCTACAATCATCTGCACCCAAAACCCTAGACGCAAATACATCGTCAAGAAGGGATCTTGCCTCTTCAAACCTGCCTTGTTTGATAAGGCACATCGCTAGGTTGCATGATTTGTTAGCCTCTGGTTCCACCATCTGAGCTTTTCTGTATACAGCTTCTGCGGATAAGTACTTGGCTTGTTGCATATATGCCCATCCCAAGTTCCCCTGTATATTCATTCCAAGTAGCTTGATTAGTCTAAAATTCGTATTTGCCTCCAATTTATTTTTAAAAAATATTATACATAGTTGGCATGACCCAAATAATTGATTTTTTTTTATATTAAGATTGACCTAAAAATGTTTATGGCTCTCTAAATCTAAAATTTGGATGTGAGAATCAGAATGTTATAATTACCAGTAATCTTGAGATTTCTTGCTGAACGGTCACTTGAAACTTTTTGCCATGGGATCTAGCGGTCTTGGTGGGTTTACCATTGAAAGCTTCTCCTTGATAGATCTGTCTTAGCTTCCTCTTCAACAGCTCGACTTGCTCCTCCATTCTTCCGCATTTCTATTCATTGTAAGAACTCACTCATGTTAGTGTTATGACAACAGAACATACAGTTTCTATGTGTTGATTCATGGCCTAGTTCCATATAGTCTATATACTGTACTTGCATTTTATATTAAAGACTTAGAGTGCAAGGAGATAAGTGTATGGTCATAATAAGACCTTGTAAAGGTCGATGAGGACATTGTCAAGGGAATCTTGAGAGTTCTTGGAACAACGAGGACGAAAGGATTTAATGGCTTCGATGGCTTCTTCGGAACGGTCAAGTTGTTTCATTACAACAGCCATGTCCTTGAGAGCACTGTCTACTCTGTCTCCTGTGTTAATGGCTTTCCAAAACCACACTATTGCCATCTCCGGATTCTTCTCTATCAACTGCAACCAACATTGTTACACGCTTTAGTTATTAATAATCTCACTCCCCGTTAATATATAATCAAGTGTTTTAGTTTTAGAAATAGATGCTTATCAAAGTATGTGATATGGGCCAATAAATAATTGTTGAGAAGAATATTCTTTGGGACGTAAAGACTTTTTTTTGCACCATTCTAAGGAAAAGTAAACGCGAGTATTATTGCGAGAATCAGGACCGTTTGGTGCAACCTGTGACTCTTATAAGCACACGCAGCACACCGCAACATTTGCTGCTTTTTATATATCGTAACGTATTATTTCGGTTTTATTGCATAATAATCAGCTAACAAACAAAATTTTTTTTTTAATAAGATTGGAATAAGCGTGACGCATAATTTTGATTAAATTTAACAAACTTGCTTCTTTTGGCTTTAATCGATCAAGTTGAGTTATATAAGCAATGATTTTTTTAAAAAGGTGTTCGGTGGACTAGTAAATACAAAAAGTTTTCAGCATAACTCAAAATATTTAAAATATTATTTATAATTTCTCTCTTTTGTAAGAAATTTCAGGCAAACAATAAAGAAAAAATACAGCAACATCTAATCCAGATTACACCAAATTAAAATTACACTAAAAATGTATAGATATATTTTGTACTAATTTCCATTAGAAACCCATTAAACAGTAAATGAAATTAACATGAACTATCCATACATGAAAGATTGTTAAAAAATGATTCACACAAATAAAATGCTAAGAGAAGAAGAATATGTACCTGAGCATGTTTGGCTTTGACATAGGGAGTATCTCCACAAGGGACTTTGTGGATCACATGAAACAGTTCATTATCTTTCATCAGATTGCTTCTTGTTGAGTTGGTATTATTATTCTTCATCTTCTTCAAAAGCTTATCTTTTTTTTTTTTGAAACTTCAAAAGCTTATCTATCTCTTTCTATCTCTCTCTCTGAATAATTAAGTATACAAATGTCTTTAGACAGGCTGGGAGAGACAACTCTGAGCTATATGTTATATATTCGTATGTTTATAACTGTAGTAAATGAATCGGGACAACATTTCGTCCTTGTTCATAGATTCTGCCACATCACCTGGAGACTTCTTACCACGTAGGTAAACGAGCCAAACGTGTGTCATTTTACCATTGCCACTGTCTCTCTCTATCATTTATTCTATCTACCTTTTATTAGTATAAATTTAGGTTATTAACAGCCAAAAGGTTATATATTTTCGTTGCATATATATCATCAATAACTACGTACGGTGTATTCTAGAATCTATCGATGTTCTTGGTGAATTGCCTCACGTTATTGTCGGTCTCTTCCTCTATACTCGCTCCCTTCCAATAACTTACAGGAAAGGGTATTTATTTTTGTTTCTACAACAACATAGTNAATTTAGGTTATTAACAGCCAAAAGGTTATATATTTTCGTTGCATATATATCATCAATAACTACGTACGGTGTATTCTAGAATCTATCGATGTTCTTGGTGAATTGCCTCACGTTATTGTCGGTCTCTTCCTCTATACTCGCTCCCTTCCAATAACTTACAGGAAAGGGTATTTATTTTTGTTTCTACAACAACATAGTCTTTCTGTTACCGTTTGCAACATTTATCACTTATATGTAAAGTTAAATGTGTGTTTGTTATAGTGCTACGCGTGTCAATTTTATAATTTATTGGATTACCAACTTATGACATATCACATGTATGGTGATGTGTTAAATGAATTTTAATCAGATTTTTATACGTTGTAATTAATATCAGAATTTTACTGTATAACTTGACCAATTTCATAACATCTAAAGCACCTATATAATGTCTCCAATTAGATTGGTATATTTAGCAAAAATAAAATTTAGCGTCAATGGCATGTTCCTAAAGTTTTATATATGTAATTAAGTCTATTTGTTTGTACATAGATAGCTTTAACTAATAGATTAATAGCTTCATGTGATTATTATCTTGTATATCACTGATTTCACATAAATGTGTTAAAGGTTTACTTTAAGGCACATTGCTATAAGTTGATTCCATGCCGAGTGGTGCAAAGCATTTTCAATCCTCATTATTATTTAATATAAATATTCCAAAAATATTAAATAGTTTCGATTATTCATTGTCATATGAACCATTGAAACACTTGAAAGGATAAAATGATTAAAATATCTAATGGTTACCACATCAATAATATGTTATAATAAAATGAAAAGGGTAAATAATCTCATCATCATCGGATCCCCATCATCATCATCATCACTTCTCAGAAGTTTTTTTTTTTTTTTTTTTTTGAGAAAAACTCTCTCTCTCGGAAGTTTATGTAGATGCTCAATGAATGTGGACAGTATAGGATGCAGTATACTAATTAACAAGACTACAAGAGTTGCCGCTTACACCAAACGAATCGCTGATCATAATGATATGACATAGGACCACAAACACCAGCCATCAGTCTTTTGGATTTTGTGAAATATCATAGTAACAATAATAACAATAAGGGAGTATTTACCAAAACAGATCTTTTAACCTAGAAAAATGCGAACATATCATTTAAATAACAGTATATATATGTAGCATCCTGTGTTTGGCTCTATGATACCTTTGCATTTTCTAATCAATGGAATATAAACATGCAAAACACTGACAGGTAAGTTCTTATTTTTAGTTACATTTAGTCTTCCCCTAATAATACTTGTTATTGAATATCATATATGTGGATCCGAAAGTAGCGGATATATCACATGAATCTGGACTGTCTTTCAGCACTATTCAAGATTGATTTGGTTGCTAGGTCTATTCAAGTTCTGCATACTTAACTATTAATTAATATTATCTTTATCTTTAGATTAAGAAATTTTGGTCCATTCCTGAGAATGTGGATGCTTGCATTTTAATACTTATAACTTGTTCGATTCCTTCTACTCTTTTTTTTAATTCACCTTCTAGTTGAATAATCTTAGGGTTAAGTTTATGAAGATAACACATTACATATATACCAATTTCGATAGAAAACTCTTTTAGCACAATAATAAAGAAAGCTCGTCAAAAAGACATTTTGTTTAAGTGAGCTCACCATGCGGCGCACTAACACACTATCTTGGTTCCTACTCACTGAGTCTGAGCCTTTTAGATGCTTCTATGTGTTTTTAGGATTACTTCATTGTAAATGTTAAGAATTGACAAAAGGATCAACTTTTTGGGTATCAACTCTTTGGAAATGTTTTTATCTCTAGGAGGACTAAGAGATTCATAACTCCTTGGTTGTGAAGCAGATGTACTCAACATTTTGGAAGTTACAATCTGTTTTTGTTCCGAGATATGATGTGCACATACATTATTTCATGGGACACCATTATCCTCTGCTTTCTCCTCACCATTGACCCATTGCTCCTCTTAAGACCAGTCACGAACGACAGACAACACACGGAGACATGAAACAATAACAAAGAAGAAACTAAACACAAAATATACACTCTAGAATAGACTAACAGACATGATGACTGAAAGCTGGACGAGGTTGAAAGGAACCTGCAAAGAGAATGGTAAGGAACACAGCCACAAAGGCTGTCAAGCGACAAAACCAATGTGCTGGGAGATAACTCCAAAGCAAGTTGTCTTTGAGACCAATCAACCGCATGACCAAGCGGAACGACCGAGACTTCGCCATGCTTAGCCTTTGAGAACCAGAGTGATGCAGCACTTTGTTTTCACTATTTCTACATACGACATTGGCTTTTTATACAATAACAGATGTGGTAGCTTAGCTCAAACAAAGGAAAAGAAATGGGAATTGAAGGTAATCATTATAAAGGGCTTGAATTGTTTTTCTTGTAACCAGTTAAGTAGTGTACATATAATTCAAAGATAAGCCAATAAGAGTTGATCAAATGCAACAAGAAACTAAGGTGAAAAAGGTGAGCATTTTGATTGTTTACCATATGAGTTTTAAATCCTCAATCAATCATCAACAAATCGTAAGAGAGAGTAAGAGCGTAGATTCACCCCACCAACAACGCCTATTTTTTTNCTTGTAACCAGTTAAGTAGTGTACATATAATTCAAAGATAAGCCAATAAGAGTTGATCAAATGCAACAAGAAACTAAGGTGAAAAAGGTGAGCATTTTGATTGTTTACCATATGAGTTTTAAATCCTCAATCAATCATCAACAAATCGTAAGAGAGAGTAAGAGCGTAGATTCACCCCACCAACAACGCCTATTTTTTTTATGATTTGAAGCTATACAAAATATTTATGTGACTATTGTTCCCATGCATATTTATAATAAGAATGTCTTTTACCTAAAGTGTAACTGCAATTTTTTTATCGCAACACAAAAAATTCTAAAGCAAGCACACAAGACTTGATACCACAGTTCTTCCCCCTCGTCTGAATCCCGCTGGATTCCATCCAGTTTGAATGTTCTAGGAAAGCGCATAACATGTAGTAAATAAGCAGATGTGAATCAGCCATCCGGTTGTTTTCATAGCTCTATACACAAGAGCCTTCTGCAAGCTGTGCAAAACGTCACCAATTAAGTCAACTCATATATGAAATGAAATTTTGTTTTTAAGATGATTTGAATATTTTGCTATCTCGGATTCTTTGCATGGTGTAATCTACTGGTAAATTGTGATAACTATGCATCTTAATCCCAAGCGGCTCAAGCTCACGATTTATGGATTTTATAGAGGGTGAGACATAGTTTCTTCTTGCGTAAGAAACATTCATTGCTCTGAGAAGAGTTAGGATTTCGGAGAAAACTATCACTGCTCCAACGCAAACATGATCACGCTGAAACTCATTTCGGAGCCAATGATTCAAACTATACTACTTACAACTTTTCATTGTATTTTTTTTAATGCATTTGATTTTCTTATTCATAAGAACAGCAAAACCATAATGATGAAGCTTACCTAAAATGAAAGAATAACATTAGAGGTGAATAAGAGAAATCAAATGCACTAAAAAGGTGCAACGATAAACTGTAAAGAAATTGATGAACATACTTATACAAAGACTAGACTTTTACATATCTCATACATATTTCAACAATTAAGAGACCACATAACATATAAATTGGATAAACACGATAAAAATATATAATCATCTCACTTTGATAATCTAAAAACATTAGTCCACACAAGTAGGGGCGGACCCACTTAGAGTGAAGTGGGGTCATCCGACATCACAAAAACATAATAAATATTTATTTTGTATAGGAAGACATTAAAGAATCAACAGCTGGGTTGGTTAAATATGTAGTCTGATCCAGTATTACATGAGTTCGATGCTCATCAGCTATATCTAAAATTGTTTTTGACCCCACACAAATTCAGTCTTGTGACCGCCACTGCACACAAGTACCTTGTGGTGTTGAGATACTCTCACTAATAAGCAAACAAAAAAATTAGTAAACAACACTTGAAGCAAATTCATTCATGTGTTAATCTTATTTTGTGTGATAGAAATATGCAATATCTACATTTAATTCCTTCAATTAATTTTAATACTTCATCTGCTCATTCAAGAATTTCTAGCTATCTTAAATCTGAAATGCCTTACTCCATGAATGTTTTTTGTTGATCAATTGTGGATGATGTTTGTACAATTTATTATTCTATGATTTATTCTCTTTACAATTATCATTATTTATTTTATACATGAATTAAGGCAGTATCTTATATAATAAACTTGACTTCTCTCCCTTCTTAAAGAGCCACATCAACAATCACCTAGGGGCTTTTAATGCCACGTGGCATCTAAACCTTCTAATTTTCCTCTCTCGATGAAAGCACATAGTAATTGGGCTTCTGTTTTAATTAGGCTATCTGATGTCTGGACCCGTGTTTGGGTAGGTTTTATGTTACTCGACCGAGTCGCCTTCATCTTTTCGCTTCCCTTCAGATCCGATGAAAACTCTATGTAGCAGTTTTGTTCTTTTTAAGTTCACCATTAAATTGAACATTTAACACCATTACACCTCTCCTCCCACTCCGCCTCATTTATTTATCCTAATCGGCATGACGGTAAGACTCAGCCTATAAATGTTCGTTAGATGCGATGAACAGCTCGACCCCTTAGATTTCTCAAAGATTATACTCTGCCAAGCATCACCGCCCACTATGTTCACTTCCTACGTTCTTCTCGCCGATCTGAAAGAGGCCGTCGCTCAAACAACTCCGAGGTCCTTTCTTGACATTCTAGGGAAGTGTAGAAGAAGAATCTTCCTGTTGAGCTTAAAGAGGGTGAGAGGAGAGACTTCTCTTTCAAAGAAAAATCATAGAGTGGTGAGTGAGACGATAAATTTCAAGCCTTTTTCACTATGAACTTTTTCCTTTACTTCATTAATGTGGTATTTGTTTTTGTCATTTGATGATTGAGACCGCATGGGAGGGAATCAGCTATTACTCAAAAATTAGTGAAATTTATTTGATTTGATTATTATGTCACAGAATACATGTAGTTTGATCATATGTTTATGACTTTGATATACTGCTTTTAGGCTCTAAAAGGGACCCTAAAGGTCGGATTGTTCGTCGCAGTGTAGATGCTGATGATTCTGATGTTGATATCAAAAGTGGTGATGCTGACAGGTATCTATTTTCCATTCTTTTCTTCCTATTGCAGTTCGTTTTTGTGCTTTAAATTTGGCTAAAGGATCTTTGCTAGGAATGTACACAATGCTTTTCATCAGAGCCATGGTTTTGGAATATGCAATTGCTTTGGTGCTATCCTTTTCGAGAGTTTTTGATGACTTATGACAACTGAGAGTAATAATTTCCTTCAAGTTATCTTACGACATGGTTGTCTTTGTTAGTGATGAGAAAAGTGACGATGATTAGGATGACACTGAAGCTCTTATGGCTGAAATCGACCATATAAAGAAAGAAAGAGTGGAGGAGAGGCTCAGGAAGAAGGTACGTGTTCTTGTCTATGAGATGATTTTGCTCAGATTACTATAACAACACGACTAGGATAGTTTTTTTATTAAACACAATGACATAAGAAATTTGTATCTTAATATTTATTAGTAATTACTTGCATTTTCCAGGTAAAGCAGCAGCAGATGGAAGAGCTAAACGCCAAAGAAGAGAAACTTTTTATAGGAAATCCACTGCTTAACAACACTGCAGCTTTGTTTAGTGTCAAAAGAAGGTTAACATCTTTTGAAGTCAAGTTTCTTCATGAATCTAATATTTAAGTTTCCTCTTTTTCTGGTGGGATAATACTGTGGTATTCGAGAGTCAGGCACGTGGGGAAATGAAAGCACCTTATCGTTTCATCAATGATACAATCAAGAATGACTTCCACAGCAAGTTCCTACACTGATACATGAAAGTGATTTTAACAAGAGTGTATGAGATGAATGAACTAAGGCTCTGTATTCTTTCTGAGATTATGTGATTTCTCTCTAAATCAGAAGTCAACCAACAATTGTTTTATGGTGTTACCAAAACCGTATGTGCTTGACTTATGATATTTCTCAGTTTTCTACTAAACTCATCACTGACACTGGAAGTCAGCCTTAGACAGAGCAGTGCAGCAAGGCCCATTGACACTTACAAAACTGGAAATATATAGCCTGACGGAGTAATCTCTGATTTCTGTTATATGTATATTTTGGTCTCTTCGATTCCCATATTCTTATCAAAGGTGGTGAATGCTGATTTTGTTCCCAATGCAGAAGTATGTGCACCGCCAGACAAATGCCATGGCAAGTAGAACCCAAAGTTCTTCTAGACCACCATTCAAGTTAATTGTGTTGAAGGATGTTGAGCTCTGCAGTGTCCTGCAGCCGCCTTTCCATTCACAATCAGAAACTTGGTCCGCTGAGTATTGAACTTTCAAAAATCAGCCTGAAGCTGTAGTGCATGAAGGACAAGTACTTCAGCCACTGGAACTTGGGTATGTTCCGCAAGGTGCTTCAAATACTTGGACGTTCGAGAGAGGATGTAGTTGTGATTCATTAGAAAGAGTAATTCATCCAACCTTAACATAGTAACCTTCTGTTAGAAGAAATAACATAAGTACCAATGAAGCGATCATACCAGCCATCTTAATGCTCAACACCGAAGCTCCTAAGAACACATCCTACATTTCCATTGCTCACCTATAGGTACATATATCATCTTGACGGTTTCCATTTGTGTAGCAACTAAGACTGATGTGTTGACGTTTTTTGAAATATAAATGAAACGGGCTAAGAGATGTGAGCATCCCACCAAGCCAAGGCTTCTAATACTAAACCATATCCAGAGGTTTGAAATCAACTTCTCTCCTTTTGCATTAATGAAGGACTCATTGTGTTTTAAAAGTACTAATTGGATCGAATCATTCTTTGTTTTTGAGTGCAGGTCCCTGAGAGAAAACGAGCAAAGTAGGCAGTTTTTAATTATGTGGTCTAGCACCAGAATCAATCAAATATGTTTGGACCGTAAGGATTTTCAAACACAGAATATTATGTTTTTTTCAAATACATGTAGGTGTTTTCTTGCACCTATCATTTTTAAATTTAAATTATTTATTAAAATATTTTTTTGTTAAATATTTAAAATATCAATATTTTAATATAAATATCGATTTAGTTAAACATAAATTAAGATAAAATAAACCAATTGTTTTATTTTAAACTGTATTTTAAATATATTTATATATATTCATATATTTAAATTATAGGCTTAGCTAGATTTTCATTTATTTATTGTGGTTAAAATATATTAAATCAATTTGTATATATTTTCTAAAAAAATATATAATCTTTTATATTATTAAAAAAACTAAATACAATTTCTAAAAATTGTAGATATCAAAAAGAAACAAATAATATTATGATTAAAATTTTAGATTTTTTTTAAAAGATCGTATAAAATTTAGCTTAGAAATAAAAACTGTATCATTTTAAAAATAGACTTAAAGATTATTTCAAAATTTTGTAAAATATTCTATATTATTTAATGTCATATTTGAATATTTGTATTATTGATATATTCTAAAACAATTTCTAAAAATAGAAATTAACATTAGATGACAATATGTATTGTCATGTCATATTTAATTATAAAATATGTCATCAGTTTTTTTATGTTACATCATTTTTTTGGTGGAATTGATTGCAGAGATAATGTGTCAAATATCTTCACAAATGATGTATAGTAGATACTAACCAGCTATAGCTTTACATTGATAAAGTCAGAATAGCGATCGAAATGTTGTCTCAGTTCAGACACATGGATTTGGTTTCTTTAATCAGTATTGCAATTAGAACAACAAGAGGGTCATTGTGTATGACTCGGATAGCCCAATATTGAGCTGGAGACAAAATCTTGAGATATCTATTCTAGAAACATGCAAGTATGACGGCAAACAAAGCTTCATTATCTTGATCCAGACCAGGAAAATATAACAATTGATTGAGAAATCTGATGTTTACTCTTTCGGTATAGTGATGTTTGAAGTATTGAGCGGGATACCATTCACTGATCCATCTACCCAAAGCAGAGTTTTAAGTTACTATAGTGTTGTTTGTTCATGAGGGAGGAGAGTCCGTATTACTTACTTATATTCATTGCATACAAATTATTGTTATACTTTCTACATATTTATTTTCCTATAATCTCTTTGAGGTTTTTTTTGAAAATATAAACTTCACTACAATGAGGCAACTAGATCAAGGCAAAGAAACGCGAATCGAAAACTAAATCGGAATTTAACCAAAAAATCAAACCCAAAAATCTAAAATACAGTTTATATACATAAAAATATTAATTATATTAAAATTACCAATATTCTTAAAATATTATACATAAATCAAATTACTCGAAAAAAAATAACAAAATACTTTTTACCCAAAGTAATTAAAATATCTAAATAACCTAAAAGAACCAAAAATATTTCAATAATCCAATATTTTATCCAAAAAATACTGAAAACTCCAATTATCCCAATATCCAAAAAATCCGTAAAAGAAACTGCCAGACGACCCAAAATTTATTAGTTATTTTTTACCATTGGTATCTAAACCGGAAGAAAAACCCAAATTACCAAACTGAAGTTCATAAATAACTGAACGGTTCCTATATCTTTAGAACCGAAAAAACAAATCGAAACCAAACTGAAAACCGAATGGCATAGAGGCAACCAAAGTGTTTCGTGTGGTGTTTAACTGTTTACACAAATTGAAATATTTTAAAATATAATTTGTGAAGCTATACGTCCAAATTGTTAGTTTACAATTTATACATTGAAATCTTATCGCAAATGTTACACATTATGTTATAAAATTAACAAATACACCGCGCGAAGCGCGGTATACCACTAGTAAATACATAAATCCTAAATCTTAGCTTTACTAGAATAGGAAACATCACTATCGGAATAATATTTTCTTACAATTTCAAAGTATCAAATAAATGTTCAATATTCACTGTAATTCAGATCATGAAGACTTTAATAACTCACTTTCAGTATTATTAAACAAGCAGCAAAGAACAGGGTTGTAGATAGCTAAAATATCACATGTTGATATGAAAGTTGTTAGATTCATGGTAACTTACAAGACTAAGACTTATTCTTGGAAAGAGTGTTTGAGGAGTATGCAGGAAACTACTTTGTAAATCCATATAAAGCGGTCTCGAACCAACTCTTTTTAGTTGATAAATGAAACAAAAAGGGGTTGTTTGTCATGCAAAAATTGATCATGCCATAGTTCGGTCATTAACATTTTTATGGATTTTAAAACTTAAATTTTCATCAGTGAGAATTTTTTTTGTAAATTGTAAATTATATCCAAATAGACAAGCTTGTGATATATACATATAGCATAATAATTTGCAGTGTCATTTAATAAAATGAACTTGATAGTTTAAGGCCACTGTTAAAAGATCACTAATGACCAACCAGTAGAACACACTGATCTTAATGAGACTCGTACCCAAATATCTATGGAGTTGGTCATCAAAATGAAAGACAAATATACTTGACATTACATGATTCGCTTAATTTGTTTTGGGTCTGTCATGTTCTTTCAATAACTACTTGAATATTTCTTATTTTTAAGCAAGATAGAATTTGATCGACTTGGAAATAAAATGTATTTGATGGTCTTTGTAGTCTTGGGGGAGATTATAATGTTATGCATTTTAATAAACTTGAAAATTCAAATGAAATTTAATGATATTTAATATATGATTTTAACATTTATGTTAAATCATGTGTTATATTAATATTTTATTAATATTAACTTAAATCATGTGTCATTAGTTTTATGATTTATACATGTTAATTCAGAGTACCAATTCAATAAAACGGATTTACCATTGACTTTGAATAGATTTGGAGGATTTTTTTTTTATTAAAAATACAGAAATTCAAATCCAAGAAAAAACTTGTGTCTAAATCAAGATTTATAAATACCAATTAAAATAAAAAATGTTAGATTTAGAAACTAGTAAATTTTCTTGAATTTATAAATTCTATTTGAAATTTTAAATCAGTTAACATACATAAATGAATAACGATTTCTTTGTCACATATCAACTTTAATTTTTTTATGCTAATCTATTTTAGAGTTATGACATTGACAATAGATACATACATAAATGAATAACGATTTCTTTGTCACATATCAACTTTAATTTTTTTATGCTAATCTATTTTAGAGTTATGACATTGACAATAGATACCTACTAGGTGATTTTCCCGTTCTCATGCACGGACATAAATATTTATAAAATAAATATATTATAATAATTTATTGATATTTACTTTAAATTTTAAATTAATTTATAATTTGTGTATAATTTATATTAATTTAATTATATGTATAATTTTAGATATGTATTATTTTGTCAGTTTCATTGTTTTAACGGTTGATTTAGTTATCAGTTGGATATATTAGATTCTATCTATTTCTTTGAATTCAACTATAATCTTTTTATCTTAAATATATTAAATTTTTGATTAATTCTTATTTGCATTTATGCCGGTTGTTATCTTAGAAATACAAGTATATCTAGTAAGATTATGTATAACTTAAGATTTTTTGTGCTTAAAAAGAAAGAAAAAAAATTAAACTGTTTGATTCTAAATTACATACATAAGTAACTAATACATTTTTAGAAGCTTATGAACACATATCAATATTTACAATATTTAGATTGATTGGATGAAAAAATGAATTTTTTTAAAAATAATTTTAAAAATAAGGATTCTGATTTGCTTAAGTATTTTAATTATGGTTATATTAAGTTCTACAAACATAAAAACAGAAAATTAAAAATCAAAAGAGTTATTAAGAAAACATATAATTTTAACAATTAAAATATATTATA